GGGCGGCGGATTTTCAAAAAATATTCGAAAATTTTGACGACCTTTTTTTTTAGGTCGACCAAATTGATTTTTCGAGCTCTCCCAAAGCATTTTGGCTAAATTTTCTGAAAGACGCCTTTAGAAAAATTTTAGGGTCGGTCGGCCAAAAATGGATTTCTGAAAAAGTATCAAAGGGGGGGGACCCTTTGGGTCGGCAGGGGGTCGAATCCCTGAGGGGGAGCGTCCGCCCCCGCCCCCCCCCCCCTAAATCCGCCCCTGGACACAGGGGCGGATCTAGGATTTTCTGGGGGGGGGGGAGGCGGATTTTCAAAAGATTTCGAAAAAATTTTTGACCTTTTTTTAGGTTGATTAAATAGATTTTTCGAGCTCTCCCAAAGCTCTAAAAAGACCCTGTTGTGGCCAAATTTCCTGCGCCACAAGCTAAATTGTGAAATAACAGGCCAAAAAATGCGTTTATAGGCACTTTTTTGGAAAGTTTTGACGGCCCGCTCTTCCCATCAAAATTAAATATTAGCGCCTTCAGAAAAATTTTATGGTCCGTCAGCCAAAAATGGATATCTCAAATTTGAACAATGGGGGACGCTTTGGGTCGGCAGGGGATCGCTACTGTATCGACATTTTTTGGAGGTGATAGTCTTTTCATCACAAGGCTAGGAAATGAAATAAATTCCGGGTTTGATCTTTGGCCAGCAAAATTTCTTGGAGCGCTCTTTTTCCGGGTTGGAAATTTGACTTTATCAGAGACTGCAATTTTTCATAGAGGTCTTTGGACATTTGGATTTCAAACTATCCTCTTAAGCATTGAAAAACCCGTGAATGACCCGTCAACTATTTTTCCCGCAAATAATTTTTTGCTTTTTTTGCACCGAGCGAACAATCTCCTCCTAATCATCTGATAGAGGAGATTGTTCACGTAGTTAAAAACTATTTTTTTCAGCCCATCATCATTTTGCGTATCGACTTTTGCTTAATTTGCCGTTTACTTATATATGATATTAAATCAGTTGGTTCATTTAGGGGTAAATTGTTCATTTGGTGTCTTGTTTTTAGTTAAATTTTGGATTCATTTCATGCTGTAAGAACATAAAGGGACGCTTTTAGCCTTCCGTCTAAAATGCAGTCATTCACCGCCTTTTCCCACTTTTTAGCTGCTTCTTCAGAATTTGCGACCGCTGGTAATTTAGTTTGTCCACATTCCAATTTCTACCCGGCCGTTCAAAGTTGATCTGACAACGCATTGCTGCCTTTTAGTGTAACTCCTACTTCGCTTACCAATATTTACAAAGGTTGGGCCAAATATATTCCATATAGGTGATATTTCTTTTCATATGTGCACAAGGCGTGATCAAACTACGAGTACAACCATCAAAATTGATTGCTACTACGAATTAAAAGGCGACATTTTTTGTAGTAGGTAGTATTTTTTAAATTCTAAATGTCATTCCCTTTAGAAACCGTCGTTCTTTTTTTCGCTGATGTGTATTTGCCTTTTTTGGCCTTGTTCTATTTTATTTTCGGACTTTGGGTTAAATGTTTTGATGGCGTCGTTGGAAGGAGGGCTGTATTGAATGAGGAAGTATTTAAATACAGTAAATTGTTGATTTGTGTAACGTATGTGAATCGAGAGTGTAGGGTGGTTCAAGAGATGGTTCAATAACACAGAATATTCCGACGACAAATAAGAAACTACACAAACGTTTTTTGTCCAAATTGCGTCCTTTTTTGCTCGTGATGTGAGCAGAAAATGTGAACGAAAGCCTAAAATTCTGAAACTAATAATAACTTAGGTTTGTCGGCTGAGATGCCACATCGTAGAATTGTTTTTTGCTGTACGCGAAATACATTGTAGTTGTTTTTAGTGTTCTTATTTTTTTCTATTTGTAATTTTACTAACCTGGACTTCGTATATTTTCATTTCTTTTTTTTCGATTAAAAACTTTATTCTGCCCAAATTTTTTCGGCTTATTTTTTTAATTGGCTTAGTGACCTTAAATTGCGTAGTTTTATGGAAAAAGTTTTTTAATGTTCCTCTCTGGATTGCATAAAATGCTCAATATCTTATTGAATTTATAGTTTTTCATGACAACAATTTTTTTTCGGCAGTTTTTCCTTCTTATTCCGCTTGATACGTTTCGGCCTATATAAAACCGGCTTAAGTGTTTTTATTGCGTTTTCTGACAAGCAAAAGTGTTTTTATGTGCTTGTGTGAGTTTCGAGGGTGAGGGGGACTTCAGAACTTTTATTGGTCATACATTTTTCAATTTTTTTCCGGCTTTTTTAATTTTCTCTTTTTTTTTGGTGTAATCGGTTTCGGCCTATATTATATTGGCTTAGTGACCTCATATTGTTTCAGTTGAAGAACAAATAAAGTTTTGTGTGTTTATGTCTTGAGGGTGAGTGTCTTTTAATAATTCATTTTTGATAGATCTAGCTTTTTTGACAGTTTCGATTTTGTTTCTCACTTAGCGTCTTTCTTGTTTTGTATCACAAGTGTTGCATAGCTCAACCTCGCCTTTATTCAAACGAATGCGCTAAAAACATTTTAAATTTTAAAATCACGACTGAATGGGCTGTAATATTACATATCACTAGACCCATTTCAATGATTATTTATGGTACCTGTTTTTACGTGAAAAAAAAAAAACTAAACACGGCCCAAGGCAAAGTTCTTGCCACTTTTAATAGTTGGAAATTTGAGGATAACCGGTTGCTGTGCAATTAGCATAGAGTTCTCCGTTTAAACAAAAAATCCCTTTTTTGTAAACGGTGCGAAATTGGATGATAATTTGTTAGAGTGGTTGATGATGGCTAAAATCGCTTTAAAACGCACTAGAATTAGATAGCAAGCACACCGTTTCACTCATAATTTTCCCACTATCTCGCTTATAGGCATATAAATAAGTCTGAAGCAGGGAAAAGTTCAGACAGACATTTTTGTTGAAATCCGAATCATGGCTGAAAAATCTTACGATATCGCGCTTGATATCCTAAAGTTTTCCTTGAGGTAGTCAAAATCGGGAAGAAAATATACACCCTACGCGTTAGTTCCTTCCTTCCCAGATTCTATACGGAATAACAAGTCGAATACTGTTTTTCCTTGATGATAAAAAAAAACAATTTCAATTTTTTCATGTATCAAATTTTAACTGAACGACCAAGAAATCATTTTGTGGATAACTCCAAGTATATAAGTTATAGTTGTCGTGAATTTTCGTTCGTCAAACGGGAACCTTTCTCAATAAACTGGATATCAACTTCAAAATTGAGGAATCTCATATTGTTACTGCTAGTAAAGGTATTGTATTTTATTCCAGGCTCAAATATAGATTTAAGTTCTCGCTAATAGCTTTTATTTTTTTCACGTTTTTTTATCGGAGTGGTAGTTTGTCCCGGCCCTGGTAATCAATCTTATAGTAACTTAGAACAGGAAATAGTCCGTATAGATGCTAATTAACGTTGCTTCGCGATGATTGAAAAAGAAACTGAATTCGATTCTTCGGTGCCTGTGCGTGTTGACCTTTTCCCCCAAAAATAGGTGTCTCTTTTGGAACCTGGGATTGTCGGTGGTGGAATGAATTGGAATTAATATCACAACTATTGACATTTCAGTACGCATTATGGCAGAAAGATTCGATAGCAGAAGCTTCTAACTAATCTTAAACTTAATTAATTCCTTTAAATTTCTATTTTTCGTTTAATTAACGCTTGAAACCCTTTCTTAAAAAATCTTGATTGCCAACCTTAACTAAAGGCCTCTTTATTATTTGGTCTTTATTTCAATCTTAGACTTTGAAGTGTCCACAAACTCTGATAATGGCTAATATTAGTTTCTGTTATTTGGTCGGTTTTTCTTACTTTATTTAAGTATTGGGGGTTAATTTTAGCGTTCGTTTCTATTTTCTTCTCTTAAGTTATCATTAGAATCCTCTCCTCGTCGTCCGTCCAAATAGGTGTTCAATTGTTTTCTCGTCTTCATTTTCCACCCCAGAATCAGAGTAGAGTTTAAGCTTAATTCCACCACCTCTCCTCCGATAGCTGAAAATTTTTACCAGTTTAGCCGATAAGTTAGAATAAAAATTAGCGTAAAATCAAGTTCAAGCGTTATTGACGAGAAGCGAACGATTGCAGCGCTGCGCTTTCAATCGACATGAGAGGTAGATACAGCTCGTACATCAATGTTTTCCCTATTCAGTTTCACATTTTGGCTAAAGTTTTAACAAAAAAAACTGATTGATTTTAATAAATATCCCCTCCTATGGCAAAAGCGAAGAGTTTAGCCATTGGGGTAGAAATTTCGGGTTTAACTTCAGGTTAGCAAGTTTCAAATTTTCGACTATCCGAGTTCTCGGCTATGTGGGTACTGCCCTTCGCCTATTCCTACTATCTCCCCGTTTCCCTCGTCAATTTTTCCATCTTTTTAATCTTAACCATTGTTTTTTCCGTTGAATTGCCACTGAAATTTACACAATCATCAGCTAACAGTAACACCATCTTTTACTCTGTATTTTTGCTTCTCTATTTTGTCAGTTAAGTTAAGCTACATTATTAAAGCGGTATGCTTTTTGGGATCTCTAAAGTTATTCATTTTGTCCGCTTTTTGAGCGTATTTAAAAATATTCTTATTCGTTGGTGAATTATTAGAAAAAAGTTGCACGTGTGAAACGTTGTTTGTGTAGTTTCCCAGGTATATAAAAAATTGAGGCTTATAATAAACAAACAATTTGTTTATTTTTAAAATGCTTCTTTGATTTTTACGCGAACTGAAACTATACCAAAATTTATTTTGTTGGATATTGTAACAGGTGTTTAATGTCCGTTTGTTAGGTGTTACAATTGGAACGATTATCTATCAATGAAATTGATTAAATCATTATTTTTAACTCTCGGCTCAATTTGAAAACAGCATGATCTTTTGTTTACATATCTGGAAAAACACTTACCCAATTTAGGCAATCAAATAGCCTATAATTAAAAGATTATCCTTGCATTTTACTGTTTAGAGATCTCAGATTAGCAAAGTGGTCTAAATCGGTTCCGAATTGAATAGCGAGATTAAAAATACGTCAAATTATCCGAGCCCGCTTTATCTTAATGGTAATATACGATGGCATCAGCAGGCGACTCAGAACTAAAATTAACCAATAATTCATCCCTCGAAAATAGCAGAGAGTTTATAAACTCTGATCTCATCATTGCAAACCATTGCAACTTGAAATTGAGTCCTCTCTCAAACCTGTCGAACTCAACTGAAATTTTACCATCCAAATCCAATTATCGACCGGACGACAGCTGCGAGCTGAAATTGAGTCTGGAAAATCTGCCGGATTGCAGCGTCACTTCTGAGCAAGACACGAACAATCGCACAGAGCACAAATCGGAGAGTAGCAAAAGCGGCGAGAGCTTTGAATCTTCTTCTAATTGTGAATCTTCCTGTCAAGACGAATCAGCAGTTGTCATGACTGAGCAAGAACCCTCAACTCCCGGCTCGAAATCATCAGTTGAAAAGCAATCGCATTTGAATGGAAAAAGCGAGGACAGGTTCCGAAAATTGTCCCGAGATAGTGCAATTAAATCGTTCAACGAGGAATTGACAGTAGAGCTACCTGTACATGATTTGGTGGCGGCTCCTGGAAAGGTATCTGGATGTAGTTCCTCGTTTGGAACACCTCTGGCAACATCCTCCCCCTCTTTCTCACAACTGCAGAGCGCCTCGCCTCACGTGGTTTCTCTAGTCGCCAGCAGTTGCAAAGTATCCAGTGCAAGTCCAGGTCAGTTGAAGAGATTGAAAAGTCGAAGAGTTCATTTTTTTCGACTCCCTTCGTTAATTGCTTAAAATGTTTGAAAGGCCGTACATGATCGATTTAATAATAATACCATCAGGTAAAATCAGGCAGGAACGAATCAAAGAGTAACATGATATTTTTTGAGAACTCCGGCAGAAATTACAAAAATGGTATTTAACTGCTAAGATGTTATGTTTATTTATAAATAATTATTAGAAGTATTTCAGTATTTTACTTCTGCGATTTTTTACTTTGAGGGTCTGATCAATCAATGCCGACAAATTAATTGTATAATAACGACAATTATTTGGCCATGTTCGCTTTAGTGAGCTTCGTCTGCGAGGATGGCGAGGACCAAGACTCAGTCACAAACTGGAGCATGACTTCACTCGAGGCGATTGAGGCCGCTGTGTGCTTTCAGCCGAAAGCTCTTTCAGCCTCCCCTAATCACTATAATAGCCATCAAACTACTGTTCCTCAGCAATCTGCAAGCAATGAATCTCAAATTACATCTACGTGTAACAATTTAAGTCAAGAGAACTTGAAAATGCACAATCAACACCCGACGTCGTTGTTGCTACCGGCTACAATTTCCTTCAACGATAATGTAGTGTCTAATAATGGCAAGTCACAGTCCGGGAAACGTGACCTGGAACATGCCTCGTTTGATTCGGATTTAAGCTACGAGCAGTCGGTTGAACCCAAGAAGGCCAAGAGTGACGTGATTGACATGGGGGATTCAAAAGAGACAAGGTGTTGCGAGGAAGAGGCGCTGGCGCCTTCGATAGTGGTGACGAGTCCCTCAACCTCCCAGTCTCAGCAGTCGAGTTCCTGCAGTCCAACGACAACCTCTACTTCTTCTAACTCTGAAGACACGGATAGTGGAGTTGGTTGCAGTAACGATGAAATGCTGAATGACTTCATCGATGACTCCTTACAAGGTGAGAGATCCAGGGGCAAATATTGTTTTTAGACTAACATCTACCGTATTGAGTATCCTGGGTGTCATAGTTGTCATACTTGTTGAAAGGAATAGTTTCAGGGTCCAAGGTTTCCTAATAGATTTGTCAGGTTTGGAGCCCTATCGATCACACTTAGAATGTAATGTACAAGGTAGCATGCAAATGATCCAAGGCATGGGCCAGTCCAGATTTAAAAAATCTAGGTTTTAATTGACGGAAAAAAATCATGAATCTCTTCGAATCATCTGCTTTCACGCACCAATAAATTAGTTTCAAGTTCAGAAATGCTGATTTATGGAACTTTGTTTTCAGGCGAGAAGAAGTGTGTGGATGAGAGTGAAATGGGAGTTTGTGACGGTATTGGGGGTGGTAGTCGGGATGTGAGAATGGGGGTGGGCGCAACGAGTAAGAACAGTAAACATAACGTGGACAGAACCTTCCGACCAGTGCGCAAGAGGAGCATCCACTTTGGAAACGTCACTGTCTACTACTTCTCCAGGGCACAGGGCTTCACTTGTGTCCCTGCACAGGGCGGATCAACTCTAGGTCAGACCATCTAATTGACTCATTGGAGTATTGTGCTCTTTTTCAGCTTCAAACCCCTCGTTGAATTTTATTAAGTACAAAAATTGCGAACAATACAGTTTGAGTTTTTTCACTTTTTTATATTGACATGTTCGAGAATAGCTTATAACGAAAAGTTTGTTGTAAGTAATGGATAGGAAGCTCAGTCTAGTCTTAAAAAAGTAAGTAAATACGGCCTTACTTGGGAATTTACTTGATCAATTTACGGAAAATCAGGGATCTGATTCATTAATGTGTTCAAAAACTACTTAACTTGGCCTCGATAAGTACTATTAAATTGTAGACAGTGAATTGAAACTATTTAAGTATCAACTTTTTTGTTCGTTTTTTTTTCATGAAAAAATTTGTTCACGCTCCAATTTGAGCTTTGGCGGTTCCACTTTAATGTCTTTTTAATTTAAATTCAAATTCATTTGCTGAAAGGAAGGCAAATTACGCTATTCAATTACTAAAGCTAAATGGCGTTAAAAAACGCGAACTACTTTACTTCAAACATGGATTGTAAATTATGGTTTTCATGCGGAATAAATTATATCGTTTTTGGATCCAGTTCTATCAGGAAGTTTGAATCTAAGAAGGTTTTATCTAGAAAGAATTCTAACGCCATATAAAAATATGAGTTTTCTTTAAAAATTGTTTTAAAAATATTCAGTTCTGTTGGCTATGTCTTAATAAATAACATAAAAAGGCTGTTTTACGATTGGAAGCGAATTACAGTACCAATTTCTTGTTTTGCAATTTGAATTGTGTTGTGTTGTAGGAATGTCTCCACAACACGAAGCAGTTGAGCAGTACTCGTTCTCCGACTACAAGAGTGTGCGACACTGCCGGAAGCGACAACTACTTAAGGACAGAACAGCGCTCAAGTTCCATAACCACCATCAGCACCATCACAACCACCAAACACAACACCACCTTAATCAGATCAATCAACTGAACCAGAACCCCTTAGTCAAGTCCACGCCCCTCCCTCACTCACCCCCGGCTTCTGTAGTCTCCTCTGAAACAGGCCCAGATGCCGAACAGAATATCTCTAGCACAACAACAACAGCCTCTAACGATTCAAAAAGCAGTACAGCAACACCAATGAAGGAACCAACGACAACTAGTTACAGTAGTAGTAATACTGGTAGTACAGGCTTAATTACACCAGAAAGCAGTACTGTTGTTGCACAAGCATCTAAAGTTAGCAATAACTCTTCTTCGAAATCTGAAAGGACCGAGCAAACTACTGATGTGAACCTGGATGAACAAGATTCAACTGTAAAATCAGAGAGCTCTGAAAAAACAGCTGAAATGTGTTCGAGTTTGCAAAGAGATGATGTAATTAGCAGAGATGACACGCCAGAAAGTTTGAGGCTCGTAGGTGATCAAAGTTCAACCAAGCAGTTCATTACGTCATGTGGTCTGGAATCGAACTTGCAAGAACACGAAGCGTGTCTAGACGCAGACGAGGCACAGCTGGAAGCGCAATTCGAGACCAATTGTTTGACCCCCGCAGACTATGACAACATGACCTCGGAGGAGATCGATGACTCATTCTGCCTAGAGGTCAGTACCCCTTTACGTTGCCAGCCCCTCCGTATCACATAGTTGTGCATGCTTCCATGTTTAAAAGACGGAACCTCCCTTTTTATTTTGGACTGAACTTTTAGTGTCAGAATATTGTCAAATGTGAAAATTTTATTTCTCCTTTACTTGTCAATTCTATTTAGTAACGTAATTGTTTATATGCAGATATTCCTTGTCACAAATTTTTTATAAATTGAAATCTTAAACGATGGATTTTTTCAACGATTAATATTTATTCCCATTAACGAAGCGAAGCGTTATTTCGCGAAAATTTTTCGCAAAAAAACTTGGATGCCGTGTAAAAAATAGACATTAAAAAACTGGAGTTTCAGTTGTTCGATCTGCTGATCTTTCCGAATGTCAGGCAAGATTCAAAGTTGAAAACATTTTTTCCATTTTTCAACTTATAAGCTCTAAATTTATTAGTATCTAATCTAAACTTGAGGGCTATTTGATTTGCTATTATATTTGATTGAGGTCAAAGATGCATTGTTTTGAAATGAAGAAACCTTGTTGTTCCGACTTTCGATACGAAAGTAACGGAATATTTGTGCTCGGGTGGGTTTTCTTCAGACAAATTTCGACCATTTTTGACAGAATTTTTTTATATCATTCGAAAGGTATTGTTGTCCTGAGCCTAAATTTGAAAAGATATTTCACCTGTGATCATTTTTTGAAAAGTTATGGGGGTTTAAAGATTGCAATTTTGGCCAATTTGGGACAATTAACGCGCGATATATTTCGCGCTCTTATAAGCGCTTTAAAACTTCCAGCTGCCTGTTGAACACTTAATCTGTTGAAAATGGAAAACAGTTAAAGTTGGTAAAGGACTAACGTGCCGAATCATCTGGTTGCCGAAGATGTGGTAATTTTTTTTGTCAAGATAAAATTATAAGTTTTTGGCATTTAACTGGGGTAAGTATATTATAATCATATCATTTCAGGGTAAGTTTAGATTTTTCTACTTCACTTGAAAATGTCTCTTGAAGAATGCACTTAATCAAGTCAAATAATGCTTTTTATTCGGCATCCTGGAACATTGATAATTTCGGCGACCTGAAGTTTGGCACGTTGACATGCCACCTTAGAGTTGTCTCTGTTCTCTTGAAATATTCAAGCTGAGCATAGTATTATAATTTTGCGGGGAAACTATTTTTTTCAGTTTGCTGAAGGTACAAGTTTTGTGTTTTCGTCTTTTAATACTTAGGTTGTTTGGTAGCCTTATTTTCACAGCAATTTTCGTTTCCAAATTATATAACACGTGCGTGATGGTGTACCATGTTGCAAAATTTCAAAAATTGAAAAATGTGTGTTTTCTGGCCCAAAATCAGTGTTTTTGTGCAGAATAATTTTTGCTCAAGCGACCTTCTCAAGCATAGTGTTAAGATGATTCCACTTTTTCTTAGCAAAACGGCCCCATTCAGTTCAAAGTCTTAAACAAAAAGGCTCATAATTTATAGGCCGCAGAATGAAGCCGAGACGTAGCCGAGTTTTTGTAACTCGAGGCTTATTTCTACTTTTTATAGAGCTGCTTTTTGTGTTCTCGCTAGTATTTGCGAAGCGAACACTCTGTAAATTTAAATTATGATCTAGCTATATCCGATATAATAAGGCGATGGCTTTGCTGCCTGGTATCCAATCATAAAAATGCTTGAAAGTAAATTAAGCAAAGACGATTTGGCCGAGTGGCTAAGGCAATTGAATCTAGTCGTTAAGTCTGGAAGAAACTATGGCGTAGGGTCTGTTTTTTTCAGAAAGTTTCTCAGTGTCGAGAAAAAACCTGGACCGAGTTTTCCATTTTCCAGCCTAAATGAAAAAAGTTCATTTTTGATATGTTTTGGTAATTTTTGTCGCATTTTGAAGTCGATTTTCTAAATCAGCATTGCTGGTGAAACCAATGTGAAAGTAAAATAGGAGTCTTCGAAACGAAGTAGTTTTTGAAAAAATGCGACTATTAGAAGTTCCTGGTTTGTCCCGTGCCTAACTAAACGCATTGCGAGCCTCAACATAAGCGAATAACAGGTCACTTTAACAAATTGATAATTGTATGCGCATACATGAAGATATTTCAGTGTGAGGTATATTATGGCTGAGGATTTTATCCACGTGGAATTTAACGGCACAGGTCTTGTCTTTTATTTGATTTTGTTGATGTTATAGGTAGTGCCACTGAAGAAGCGCAGGAAATTGCTGAAGGAAAGTGGCATAGACCAAATAGATGTGAGCGAGCACAAAGAGTGCGAGTGGATCCGAGTGTCGCGCGAGGACTGCGGCTGCAACTGTCGCGTGGTGTGTGACCCCAGAACGTGTCTGTGTGCCATAAATGGAATCAAATGTCAAGTGGACAGACAGAGTTACCCGTGTGGCTGCACGAAACAGGGATGTGGAAATGCCTCGGGAAGGATCGAGTTCAATCTGTACAGAGTACGCACTCACTTTTTCTACACTCTTCTGAGGCTGCAGCAGCACCGCAATAATAGCGTGGAACCCCACACGCAACTCTCGAGTGCCAATAGCAGAAATATTCTGGCGAAGAACTTGCAGAACTGCTCATCCAATTCGAGCGACGAAGAAGAAGATGACGACGATGAGTTGACTGACAGTAAAGAGTTAAGATGTGGATCGCCTGATTCGTTTGATGAAAACGAAGACGAGCGACATAGCGAGGACTCTTCGAGCATAATCGGCGAAAGAGGCGAGTGCTCGAATTACTGTTGTCTGGGAGTGGCTAGTCGCACCACGACGTACCCTGACGAATCCCACGCACGCATGATGCAGCAATACTACTGTGCAAATGGTCTAAACTTCAATCACCAGCAAACATCGGGAGGAACTGCAACATCTAGTCACTGCCCAACGAATCCAAATTTAGCACACAGTTCTAGTTATGACCAAACCTACGATCAACAGTCGAAAAGCTTAGACTGTGTTCTGCCGATGACGGGATCCGAAGGAATAGGAGCCATGGCCCAGTCGAGCTATCAAAACACGTACTCAAACCTGCCAGTATGTTCGGATGAAGTTATGCGCAATGAACGAGGTTACGACCAGAAAGGCGAGAGCTACAGCACTGCAAAGTGTCATCTGCGAACAGAAGTTGGCAAAACGGGATCGTCGTCTGTAGTGAATATCGACGTACAAAATGACGGCGTAATGACCGAGGATGACACGGAAACGAACGAAGATTCCGATTACATAGTCGAAACTGAAGAAGATAATTTTGAAGTCGTTGTTGACAGTCCAGAACATCAAAGTTTTGCAAATGGGACGACCAGCTACCAATCCAGCTCTTTCCAAAACTCTTCTGTTGCGAATTCTTACTACAATTCCTCTTACGGCAATTGCCATTCTGGTGATTATCAACTAGCACATCATGTTTCTGAAGGAATGGGGAATCATAAAAATATGAGCGTGAGCGGGGCAGACAATTACCCCATGTCCAACTTCCAGACGAGGTACCACGACCACACAGGAAATATTGCAACTCCTGTCCAGTCTCTGAATCACGCGGAACACTTTTTGAACTCGGGTAACACTCACGTGACTGCTAATGAAAACCACGCGGGATCCCACCTGACTAATAACATGTACCATCCGCCATTGACATCTCACAATTTGTATGGACAAAACCATCACGCCAACACTAATGTGTCTGGATATTCAGACTACGTCCAAAGTTCGACCCCTTACACTTCCCAGAATCACCTCCACAATCATTATCAAGCAGACCCTAGATGGTACCAAGGTCAAAACGAATGCCAAATGTACCCTGAAGTTAGTCACACGTCCTACATGAAGAATGGGTTTAGTTCACAGCCAACAGGAGAAGTAGACTCTAAGAATGCGGAGGAAGGAACGGAAGCCGCAGAAAAGTCTTGCAGAGAGAATCTTGAGGAGGAAGTTGAGAGTAAAGAAGATGCTTGCAGTAAAGAGTTCTCGAAGTCAGCGAGTAGTGACCTTGCTTTACCAGAATTGACGTCTTCAAATAATGGAGGTTTTGAAAACCAGCCAAACGGAGACTGTCAAAATGAGGAAATTCCCCTAGTCCCAAAAGTAACGGAGCACGTGAATTAGATCTCGAAAAACTAGATTAAACCAGTTAAAAAACTATTTTCATAGTTAGTTGCCGACCTGTGTGTTTGAACTTTTTTCAACGTCAATTTTTATGTCGTTTTGCAGTATCGAAATCTGAATTATTTAATTAAAATAGCGATATTTATAAAATATCTAATTGTCACATTTTAAAGGTTCGTCGACCAGGCTCGACATTATTTCTGCTATGTTCTTTTTCTATCCTTCGGTTTGTAATTAAATATTGCAAGAGTAAATTTGATCACTTTACTCTTTTATTCGTACACTTGCCTATTTTTCCGATCGATAGTTATGGAATTCAATCGGACAAAATTAATTAATTTAAATTTGAATTTTGACGTATTCTTGGTCAAAATCTACTCGTTGAATGTTTATTTTTCTGGATTTTAATCTTAACTGTCGTGAATTCAGAAGTTTGTTGACTTTGCAGTTCTATTTGTTTCCTATCAATTTTTACAGTGTTAATTCTTCAATTAATTCTTATGGCGTATTATTTCAACCTCGGAAAATTCTCCCGTCCTCTTATAGTGACTTTTTGGGAGAATTTTTTGTCTTCTTGCATCCCCATATAGTTGTAGTTTCAAATTAAGTTAGTGTTTATTATGTCGCTCCCTACAGAATTAGTTTAAAGCTAATTTATAACTAATTATAATACTATTTGATAGATTTATAATTTTATCGATAACATGTTTTCTGTAAATAAGATGAATTAATTCAATTTAGAGTGAACAATTTTGTGACGAACTAGCTCAAGCTATGGGAACATAAAGTCTTCTTTACGCAAACGAGCTTGAGGTCGAAGTGTCTTAACTTTTTAAGGCAAGTTGCACTTTTTAGTATCAGTTTATCAAAATAATAGTTTTGCGGGACATTTTTTATATCATACTTGAGTATAGTCTACTTGGTTTTTCTTGCTTTTTTCAGGAACAGTCTTAAAATTGACTTTTGATCTCTTTTTTTACTAAATTCTTTTTCATTTGCTATAGGAAGGCAAATCGTGCTCTTTAATTACAAAAATGAAATGGTGCGAAACAACTTAACCATTGATCCAGTTTTTTTTTTTAAAGTTGGGTTAATTTTGTCAAAAAGGTCAATCATAAATTGTTCTTGTAGCTCAAAGAGCTGTGACGCTATCCTTTTTTTGCAAGTCGCAAGTTGAAGTTTTTAAACAAGAAGTGAAATATATTTTTTGGTGTTTTAGTGTTCATTGACAATTTTGGAGTATCTGTTGGCTAAATTTATAGGTCCAGTGGTTTTTCTTTCATCGAAAGCTTTTGTTTATGTGCGCAAAGGACAGTTTTGTCGCAGTGTGAGAGACTCGGTCATCTTCTTTTTTACTCATTCGCAGATTTCTTTTTTTTACAAGTTCATTGACAATTTTAACTGAATGTGGGCTAGATTTTTATTGGTCTTGCGGGCTTTTATTTTCCTAAAGAAAATGTATTTAACTTTTCTGGCTCAATTTTGATTGTTCTATCTGGCCTGTGATTGCTTTTTAAATTCATCTCAAGTTCATTTATTATTTCCAAGTTTAACATGAAATAGTTTGTTTACCCTTGCGATAAGGAAGGTTATTGCAATCGGGTACTAGACTTTTTTTCCCGTAAACAACTTTGTCATCTGGACTCATCTGGACTCGTTGTACCTTAGTTCATGATGAATTCAATTTCGCAGTGTCTCATGCACACTTAGCCTGGAGGTAACGAATACGCCTGGGACGCCAAAGGTCTCGGGTTCGAATATGACTAGGACCTGTTATTTAAAAACGGAAAATATTCCTGTTCATAAAAAAATTCGGCCTATTTTTTGTCTTCTTATTTTTCGTCGGCATAGTTGCCAGATCTGAAAATCGTTTTTTTTGCGGCAAACAATTTTCACTGTAATTACTTTAAGTGTTTCAGCTTCTTAAAAATCCGGCGGAAACGAAATTTGTTTTTAATACTGGTTGTAATTTTACCAACTCGATTTGTCATTTTTTATCGGGTTCTGAAGTTTTGGCTTAGCTTACATCGAACTGGTGTCCTCTTATTGCTTCCTTCGGGGATCGGAAAAAGTTTGTGTTTGTGCGTGTGCTCTGAGGGGGAAAAGGGACCTAAATTTTTTTAGTAGTTTTTTTTTGAATTTTTTCGGCATGCAAGGTTTCCGCTCAGGCATTTTCGGCTTTGTTACCACATGGTAATTATAAATTCATTTTCAATCAGCCATCCGGCGCATCTGGCGTAGAGTTGACACAACTGTTTGAGGCCGCATCTTTTACTGGCAATTTTTTTTGACAAAAATAATTTTTTGAAATGTTTTTTCAAATTTTTCCGTTTGATTTTCATCAATTTTGTATAGCAAGTGGTGCGAAGCTCAGCTTCGCCTCTGTGTAAATGGAAGGCACAATACGCTATCCAATGGATATTTGATCTATTCGAAAATTTTTCGAATGGTTTTTTGTTGTTGTTGGATGTTTCGAATGAAGTTGGATGTTTATTTTTAGATTTCCCAGCAGCAAGGAAAAACCTTTTGACCTAGTTCTTCTTTAATATCGTTTTTTAATCGTCTAAGTATCTACCATAAAAGTTTTTTAACAGGTTGAAGGACACTTTTCAATTCTCTTTTGGCTAGTTTTATTGTTAAATTCTTTTTTCAAGACATTTAATTTCCTTGTATTTTTCTTTTTTTGTGCCATTTTTGTTATACTTTTGGAAAAATACGATTTTATCTGAAACCAAAACTTATGAATATAGTTTGGTGTTTCCCGATGTCTTACCCAAAATGATGGCTCCTATAACGTTTAACCTACTGCCCCTTTCCTCCTACCCACTCGCAAATTCAAATGTTTTGAAATTTTGTTCACATGGACTATTTGCCACACGATTTAACCTGCAAAATATTAACCCAATCGTTCTTTTATTTTGATTTTTCTATTGAGCTTAACAAACGCAACAATCGAATTGATCAGTGTGTCAGGTCGACAGTAAAAAGGGTAGCAGAGACTAAATTACTCCTTTGTAATAGTTTTTTTTATAAATAAAGATTTACCAATCTCAAATTAATCAGATAATGGGTCGTTGCTGATTTTCAAAGCTGTTTTGCGTAATGTTTTTGGTTTTCAAGTTTTGCCAGAATTTGGTTTTGCCTGAGTTAATATAAATTAGGTATTAAGTGACAAACTCCTTCAAAATTTGTGCAAATGGCTCAAACGACACATTTCATGAAAATAGACGAAGTGCCACATGAATCCAGTAAATTGTTACAAATGAAAGACCCTTTGTTGGGATCATAAGTACTGATTTGAACCCTTCATTTAACAAATTCTGAATAGCAAGGCAAATTTGAAACCCAAGTCAATGTAGGTATGAAATGAAGAATAGTATTTTCGGGAGTGTCAAATTCGTGAAATATTATATAAGTGTTGCGGGTGACGGACATCAAAACGGCGGACCCTAGGTCCAAATTGCAAAAATTGGAACTTCGAGCAAAAAAAAGAATTCACAAAAAGTGAAAGTTCATGGCTGATCTTAAATTAAGTAAGTTGGCGTTTTTAAATGCATAATTAACGCTATCATAGTCTTTTGAATTGTTATTGGACAAGAAAGCAAGAAATTATTTTTATAGAAAGTTCAAAAACCTGGTAATCAAACAGTTATCAAGAAAAATTTGACATCAAGATGTTGGTAATCGAAAGATATCTAGCAATTGCCACAAAAACTAGTTAGCAACATTTTCAAGAAATTGAAAAAAAAATCTATAACTCGTTAGATGTAACCATGAACTTGGTTTGTAGATATAAATTAGATTTTATCACTTGGTAAAGACT